CTGCCTGGGAGATCAGTACCCCTAACCCCCACATTGTTAAAGAGTCAACTGTACACACACATACACATACGCACACACACAACAAAGATGTTTACTGTCCGGCCCTTCAGAGAATAAGTTTGCTGAGTCCCTGGATTTAGGCAGACTGAAAGTTTCCCAGTATTTGTGCAAGTTAGCAGCAAGGCTTCAGCTCTAGTGTGACTGGGTGGCTATCTGGGGAGGTAACTGCGTCAGAATGAGGCAAAAGCAAATAGGACTGGACTAGAAGGTAAACAGTCCAAATAGCTATCAAAACAAGGTCCTTACAGCCTTAGATGGAAAAAGTGAACAAAGTATTTTCCATGGGATGACACACAGACCTTTTTTAAATGCACATTTAATTATGGTTTACATTGAAATTATTCAGTAATTTTAAATCCCCCTTAAGATGATAAGGCCAAAACTCAAGCTCCCACTCATTCTTCAACTTCTCTTGCAACATAACCTTGAGTAACTCACCAGAATTTACTGAGCAGAAACTTCTTGCAATCTCAGGAAAATACAAAATTCTTTCACTTTGTCTTTATTTTATTTACTTATTATTTGTTTTCAAATTAATCATGTATATTGGTTAAAAAGCAAATCGTACATGTTTTATAATGAATATTAACTGTTCTAAACTCCACTCCAGATTCCCCCCAAAAAAGATCTTTCTATGTTTTCATTTTTTGCCCTGAATTTACCTCCCTAAGTGTAAATAATATGCTTATATCCCTGTTTCCCAATTTTCTATCTTAAACATTATCTATTCAGTTCTAACATTGAAATAAAAATTTAGGACTTTATTGCTTCTTGGCCTTATGGCTAAGACCAAGTGTGAAATTTAGCACTTTATGCTACTCAGTCTCATCCACAAAAAGCTTTCCCTTCTCTCCCAATATTATGTCACAATTTTGATACTCTATGTGTGCATATATACATGTATATGTATATGTATATATGTGTGTGTATATGTGTGTGTGTGTATATATATATATATTCCCTTAGTATCCATGGGGAATTTGTTCTACAACCCCAATGGATACCTAAGTCTGTGGATGCTCAAGTCACTTATATAAAATGGTACAGTATTTGCATATAATCTATGCATATCCTCCTGTATACTTTAAATCAGCTCTAGATTATTCATAATACCTAACAAAATGTAAATACTATGTCAACAGTTGTACTGTATTTTTTATTTTTATTTTTTGGTGTTGTTATTCTTTATTCAAGTAATTTTGGTCTACAGTTGGTTGAATTTGCAGATACAGAGCCTGCGAATACAAAGAGTTGAGTGTACATAGTTTACAGTCAAACGTATAGTCCACATATGCTTCCTTTTACAAAAGTTTTATTATTTTCTGCTGTTTCTAATTGCTCTATTTCTTATTGCTGGATTTTCTGCATTTGTAACAAAAACTATTCCTATGCAAAATTGTAAAATACTGCTAAGATCTCCATATATCAGATAATCTACAAAATTCTTTTCATTTTCTTTGAGATGTACCTCCTGGAGCCTTTTATCATCTTGTGCTAACCTTTGCAAATGTCTAAGTGCCTCCTATACAGCTGATTTCCTGGAACCATTTGCCCCTCACCATTTTTCAAGGAATTTACTCTTGTGTTGGATATTCTGTTTTACAAATATGTCTCTTCATATATATTTTTCTCCTTTTTTACTTATTTTTTTGTGGTGAATGTCATACAGAAGCTGCTGGAGAAAGAGAGCATGGAGGGCATATTTTTAAGAATATGCATCCCAAAATACTTTACTACAAGTCTCATAGTGTGGCTGGATATAGAATTCTACATCTTCCGTCAAGAACTTGAAAGTCTTACTATTTTCTAATGTCCAATGCTGTTCTTGAAAAGTTCACTGGCATTCAAATACCTCTGTATAGGAGTAATTCCTTTGACCCTTCTGAAATTTATAGGATTTGCCATTTATCTTGAACATGTTGACATTTTATAACTTATGGCTTGGTGATTTTTTTTTAATTTGCTATGTTGGAAACTGTGTAAGCTTTTCTGTTTGGAAATCTATATTCTGCCTTTTGAAAGATATTCATAAGATTTTAAAAACTGATGTCACCATGTACATTTTGCCTATTCTAGCCTATAAGTGCTGTTTTCTTTTCAGATGTTGGACATCTTAGATTGAACCTTTGATTTTTACAACTCTTACTTTTCATCTCTTTGTCATTTGAATTTGCTTTCCAGGACTTAGATTATATTACCATTTAACCCTTTTGTCCATTTTGCTTGTTCGTTTTTAATGTCAGAATTTCAGATGTATCTTTTAAATCTTTTTTTTTTTTTTTGAGACAAGGTCTTGCTCTGTCACCCAGGCTGGTGTGCAGTGGTGAGACCATAGCTCACTGTAACCCTGAACTCCAAGACTCAAGTGATCCTCCCCACTCAGCTTCCTAATCAGTTAGGACTTACAAGCACCTGCCACCATGCCTGGCTAATTTTTAACTTTTCTTTATAAAGATGGGGGTCTTGCTATATTGCCCAGGCTGGTCTCAAATTCCAGGCCTCAAGCAATTCTTCTGCCTTTGCCTTCCAAAGCACTGAGATTATAGGAATGAGCCACTGTACCTGAACTCTCTCTTTTTTTCTTTTCTTTTTAATTTAATTTTATATTAAGTTCTGGGATACATGTGCAAGATGTGCAGGTTTGTTACATAGCTAAACTTGTGCCATGGTGGTTGGTTGCACCTATCAATCCATCACCTAGATATTAAGCCCCATATACTTTAGCTATTTATCCTGATGCTCTCCCTCCGTCAAGAGGCCCCAGTGTGTGATGTTCCCCTCCCTGTGTCCTTGTGTTCTTATTATTCAGTTCCCACTTATAAGTGAGAACATGTGACGTTTGGTTTTCTGTTCCTGTGTTAGTTTGCTGAAGATAATGGCTTCCAGCTCCATCCATGTCCCTGCAAAGGACGTGATCTCATTCCTTTTTTATGACTGCATAGTATTCTGTGGTATATATGTACCACATTTTTCTTATTCAGCTCTTTTCTTTCTTTTCTTTTCTTTCCTTTTCTTCTCTTTTCTTTTTCTCCTTCCTTCCTTCCTTTGTTGTTGTCAATTTGACTTTTAAGTTTTTCATAAATTACAGTTTTATTTTTTCCTGTTTCCTCCATTAGCTTTATTTCCTTGCCCTCCTTCTTGGTTTGTTGTTATTTGTTTGTTCTTTATCTTCAATGTTGGAATATTTCCTCATATATCTTTGATTTCTTGGCTACCCATTTATTCTTAAGAGTAAGACCTTAAAAATTTCTGTGTAGATTACCATGTGTGGGTTCCTAGTGGATTGTACCACAGGATAATTAGCCAGGAGCCTCTGAAAAACTATGACTTCTGTCAGTATTTACCCATTATTCTCTTCCTTTGGCCACTATCTAGGGAAGAATCCTCTAATACCATGCCTGAGGGAATATGACATATATCTAGAAGTGATTTGGGGAGGGCATTGTGGGCATGAAGGGGAGTCTCTCATCATTCAGCCTGGACACTCTCACGTACTTCTTCAGCATTAAGTTTTGCCAGTCCTTCTCATCCTCCATTGTACCTGGTGCTCCAGAGCAAGCAAGGACTTGATCTATTTCAAATTATACAAAAACAAAAGACAAAACTACTGTCTTTTTCTGAGATGCCTGTTACAAAGTAAGTTTTGATAAAATATAATGGGATACATGATTATGAAAAACAATTAGCAAGAACCAGTATAAGAATGTAGACAGTTGTATTATGATTATGGACATGAATTATGTAAAACAACAGCAACGAACAGGGGCAAGGCTAAGAACAGGATCATAGATCTGATGGAACACTGTGGACTCTGGGCCTTGAGCAAGTGTCAGACTGAGACATGGAAAGTTTGGCTCTGCCGGATTGGTCAATAAAGGCTCCTCAGTTCACTAAATTTGTTCCAGTTGGCGGTAGAAAGTGTTGAAATAGGAACCAAGGTGAAACCTGATTTCTCCTACAACACGTGGCCTTTGGGGTTTGTTGTCTCAATCACAACCCACCCGTGGTCATGAGAGTTGCCAAGATCTGTCATGAGCTAATTTTGTAATCAGTAAAATGTCAGCTGAAGTAATGAATTAACACTAGCAGGAGTCGGAACCAGAAATTGGAGAGTAAGACCAGTTTTATATGCTGACAGGTGGGAATTTATTGCTGGATGAGGCAAGGTGATCATCAATTATTCAATTAAATAATCAATCTAGTTCGTGTATCTTATTTCTAAGCTCTTAAGTACACAGCTCTCTCTTAAAACTTAATGGTGGCTACTGTAGGGTGATCTGGAACAACTGCTACAGGGGCTGCCCTTTAAATCTGATATTTGTTCTGAGTGACTTTATTCAACCGAGAATTTTTATTAGCCCTTGACATTCAAGGCCATTTTAAAATCCATCTTTTACTTACTTGAGGTAAACATAATCTATTTTTCAAAATCTGCAAAACCTTGGGTTTCTGGGCTCTCTTCATTCCCTTTCATTTCTTATTTCAACCAGCTGATTCTTTACCAAATCAATTTTCTCTTTCTTGCAATACATTGCCAAACACAGCCAATGGTAAGCAATCCATACTATTATGGTACCATTTTCCCAAATTATTCCCCTAGAGCTATAAATATAATAAGCACATTATCTACATTTCAAGTTACAGGAGATGAAAACTATTCAATGTTTTGCCAGTATATAACCTGGATATTCATCTATCTTTCCTGCTATATCTCTTTGTTGCTGCCTCCAAGTAACTCAGCTATATATTTTATCCTATATATTATCTGTAGCGAGTGCTACATATTTCACTCTTTTTATTTTCCTATAGTAGTGTCACAAGTCAAGGTAGCAATTACCGCATAGATCGTGATAGCACAGTCTATACTATGGCAGCTATTACATATTGAAAATATTGAAATTTCAGCAGTTTATCTCAGTAATGGTTTATATCTGACTCACATTTCAGATTGGAGCAGTTTGAACAGTTCTTTAGGCCAGATATCCAACTGATAATACAGGAATTTGGAATCCCATCATCATGTGTTCCGAAAATACTGAAATCCTTTACATCCAACTGTATTGATGAAAGAGAAAATGTACCAAAAGTTACTTAGGGGTCTTCAGAGGACAAGTGTACATGTAACATACAATAATTACACACACATTCTATTGACAAGTACTAGTCAAATAACCTCCCTTGACTGCAGCCAGATTAGATATATGATTTAAATGTGTATACAAAAGGAAAGTAAAAACATTTTGGTGAACATACTACATAGGTTACACAGCCAATAAATTGTACTTGAGAGGAATATAATGGACTTGGAAATTTGTAATAGATGTGAGGAGGAATTTAATGGACTTGGAAGTTTGTAATAGATGTGAAAAATCATTTTTAAAATCTATAATTGGGGACTGGATAAATGGTTTATTGATCATTATGAGTCTCTTGAATTTCCTACTAGTTGAAAGACAGTAATTTCTTATAGATACAATTATTTGACAATTTAACTGCCTTTTCATCTTTAAATAAGTTTTATCTTTTACCTGATGTAACTTTTACAAATAAAGATTTCAATCACTTTTTGAGAAATATTGACATACTGTCAATTATATAACAATAGAGACACAACATTTTTTGATACACGGTTATTCTGATACATGCCGTAGACTTTAGATATTTCTAAAAATAGAATAGTGGTTTTGTTTTAAATCTATAAACAAAAAAATTGTTACTATAGTTAATGAAAGAATTCTTTATAAAAAGAACAAGATAAAAATATGTATATACATTATAAATATACCTATGCTATATGTATTACATTAGGTGAATATATAATGAAAATGCAAAAAGAAACTGTTCCAAGATTTGAACAATGACTGATTTAACATGGGAGATTAATGTTTTTCTTTATTAATTAGAAAATGTTTTGTAATACAGAAACACCCTGCCTCTAGGAAGAGGGAAATTAGGTCTTGCAGATGTAGTTAAATTATGTTATATTGAGATGGGCCCTAATACAATGACTGCTGTCCTTATAAGAATAGATAATTTGGACACACTTATGGACCCACACAGTGGGGGGAAGGCCTTGTGAAGATACAGGAAGATATTCAAGTGACACATTTTTAAGCCAAAGAGTGCCAGTAGTGCCTACACCCACCAGAACATGTAAGAGACAAGGGAGAATTCTTCCAAAAACCCTTCAGAGGGACCATGACCCTACTGACACCTTGAACTCAGCATTCGACTCCAGCCTCCAGAACTGTGAGAGGATACACGTATGCTTTTGTTTTAAGCCACCCACTTTATTGTGGAACTCTAAGAAACTAATATAATCTGTATCAGAAAATAAAATAACAAAGGCTGACAAAGAAGCAGCTAAGTATCCACCTAAAAAAGAGGAGGAAAAACTTCAAAGTTAGGCATCTGAGAAGATTAATAAAGCTGACAAATCTTTTATTGACTAATGAGGAGGGGGCAGAAAATGCCAAACAAATTATAATAGGAATAACAAGGGAGCACATAAATACAAGTAATATTACGATGAGATAATAAATAGTTTTATATTCCAAAATATTTTAAGAAAAATATTAGAAAATGCCTAGAAAAAAATAGAACTTACCAAAAATGACTCAAGCAATGGAATACTCAAATAATCCTATATTCACAAAAGAAATTAAAGCAGTAGTCAAAGATCTGCCCACAAAGAAATCTCCATACACCAATCAGCTGGAAGAATAATTACAAACATAAACAAATGCAAAGATTAGAAAAACTATTAATGGTTTTCAATTTATTTTTGGAAACTCTTATATCCTCTTTTTTTTCCCCCAACTTTTATTTTAGGTGCAGGGGGTACATGTGCAGGCTTGTTACATGGGTAAATTATGTTTTGTGAGGGTTTGCTGTGCAGATTATTTCCTCACCCAGGTAATAAGCATAGGACCTGATGAGTAGTTTTTCCATCCTCACCCTCCTCCCACACTCCACTCTCGAGTAGACTCTGGCATCTATTGTTCTCTACTTTGTGTCCATGTGCATTCAGTTTTTAGCTTTTATTTCTAAGTGAGAATATGCAGTATTTGGTTTCCCGTTTCTGCATTAACTCACATAGGATAATGGCCTCCAGATCCATCAGTGTTGCTATGCTGAATATAGCACCCTACTGCCAATTCCTTCCTGGATTGTAGGGTTTCTGCTGAAAGGTTTCCTATTAGCCTGATGGGGTTCTCTACGTAGGTGATCCACCCTTATTTCTATCTGTCTTTCTTTAATATTTTTTCTTTCACATTGACCTTGGAGAATGTGATGATTATGTGTCTTGGGGATGGTCATCTTGTATTATCTCACTGGGATTCTCTGAATGTCTTGAATTTGAAGGTTGACCTGTGTAGTGAGGTTGGAGAAGTTTTCCTGGACAATATTCTTAAGTATGTTTTCCAAGTTGCTTGCCCTCTCTCCTCCTCTTTCAGGGATATCAATGTATCATATGTTTGGTCTCTTTACATAATCCAGTATTTCTCAGAGGTTTTGTTCATTTTTTAAAATTCTTTTTTTCATTATTTTTGTCTCACTGAGTTGATTCAAAGAGCTGGTATTTGAGCTCTGAGATTCTTTCCTCAGCTTGGTCTATTCTGCTGTTGATACTTCTGATTGTATTATGAAATTCTTACAGTGAGTTTTTCAACTCCATCAAATCAGTTCAGTTCATAAATCATTACAGTGTTTTTTTATATATTTATAGTAACAAATAAAGTTTAGCATTACCAACAATATAGGCAAATATCTAACGAAATGGAATAGTAGGCCCCAAACAAATTGATTCATATTTCGATATTTAATATGAAAAGTTGGGCAACATACACCAAACAAGTGGTATTAAGAAAACTGAAGATCCATATCTGATTCTATATTAAAAAAATTCCTGTGGCTTGAAGACTGAAATCTAGAAGGCAAAACTGTAAAGATTTATAAAAATTAAATATAATAAAATAGATTTGTGATTTCAAAATAGGGAAAGTTTTCTTAAGCAACATAGAACAAATGCTAATATAAAAGAAAAATAATAATAAATTCAACTACATCAAAAGGAGAGATTTATGATCATCACTCATACCCTGAAGAAAGTGAAAAGACAAGATTACTAAACTAACATGACTATTTGGCTTACGAAAGAATATTCAGATGCTCAAACCTCCAAAGAAAACACCATCAACATGCCTAATTTTTTATGGATATGAGAATTTAAAACACATCTGATAGGTTGGTAAAAATTTAAAAGTCCAATTATTAGCAAAATTCGCAAGCATGGGAATAAATACAAGAACACTAATAGTGGGAGTGTAAATTTTTATAAACACTCTGAAGAATAGATTGTCATTATTTAGTAAAGCTAAGGACATACATATACTATAAACTAACAATTTAATTCCTGGATCTATATTGCACCTTCATACATGTATAGAATGCTTATAACAGCATTGTTTTTAGTCACTAAACGAAAACAGAAAAATGACCCACAAATCTATAAATAATAGAATGCATTAGCTTTTACATTTTCATATAATAGAAAATTATATTGCAATAAAATAAATACATCATAATCACCTGTAGCACCTTGTGTCAATCTCACAAATATAACGTTGAATAAACAAAAACAAATAATAAAATCCTACATACGAGCAGTGTTATCCCATTCATATAAAGTTTTAAAATGGGCAAATTAAACTGTATAATTTGGAAATCCATATACATTTGTTAAAATTATGAAGAAAAATGAGAAAATAACTTTTGCAAGTTTTGGATAGCAGTTACATTAAAGATAGAAACATTTGGAGGGAACTTGGGGTACATCATAAATGCTAATCATATTCTCTTTCTTGCCTTGACTAGGGCAAAAATAGATATTAGTTTCATAGTTGTCTGTTTAAACTACATACCTAAGTTTTGGTTACATTTTGATAGGTGCAATGTTTAAAAATGTAAAATTTTAAAAACTAAATAAAGATAAAAGTTTTAAAAATACTATGTTAATTAACAATCTAATTGCAAATGAACAAAGCAATCTAATTGCAAATGAGAATGGGAAAAAAGATTGACTTTTTTTTCCTTTGCTTTATTCAACTTTTCTTTGTTTTGCTTGATATTTTGTGTATAGGTGTTTATACTCTTCTTTCAAAGAACGAACTGTTCTAAAACAAATGTCAAGTTGATCTGTTTTTATAGGTTAGTGTTTCTTAAATTTTATTATACATGTGAATCACCTGGGAATCTTGTTAAAATGCAGATTCTGACTCAGTAAATCTGGAGTGAGGCCTGCGATTCTAATGGGCTATCATGGAATGCACAGGGTGTTAGATTAGTCTAAGCACTACTCTTTGAGGAGTGGAGCTCTGAGCTACAGATTGGTTGGTAATAGCTTAATTAAAACCCAACTGGTAATCTGTAAATGGGATGACCATAGATTTTCATTCAGTTGGGACACAGTTGGAAGTGAAATACAGTTGTTATTAATAATTGTGCTTGGACACAAGGTATAAACCAGAATTTCCTGACAAACTTGGGATATCTGTTCTCCCTAGCTGTGAGTTACAGTGACTTTTTTTACGCATTTTAAACTTTAGGACCAGACATTCTGGGAAACTGACCACCGTAAATCCTCCTGAGTAACACACCTAACATTGCCCCCCAAAAAAAACAACCTGAAACGCTTATCAAAGCGTTTGAGGTAGCAAATAAAGGTTTATATTTTGCAAAATGCACAGCAGGGAAAAAGTTATGCCCAGGTTGAAGTGGGTGTAAGTCTCCCATCTGCTGCTAGCTAGACAGTCTGGACCCCAGATTCTTCTTGCTCCTGAAATACTTGTAAGGCATGGTCTTATTACATTTCAATGATATCATCTTTACTTTTGGTATGAGATACTGCTTTGTTTTATCTCTTTTGCATTTTTAATTTTTTGAACTTAAAATAATGTTGCTCTTTTCTATCTACTGTTTCTTTTTTCTGATTTTAAAATTACTTACAAATCTACTTTTCAAAGCAAAACAAGAATTGTCTTTTTTTTTTTTTTTTTACAATTTTGATTTTTATTTTAGATTTGGAGGTACATGTGCAGATTTGTTACATGGGTATGTTGTGTGGGACTGAGGTTTGGGATACAAATGATCCCATCACCCAGGTAGTGAGCATAATATCCAATAGTTAGTTTTTCAACCTTTGACCCCCTCTAGTACTTCCTAGTGTTTATTGTTGCCATCTTTATGTAATGAGTACCCAATGTTTAGCTCCCACTTACAAGTGAGAACATGTGGTATTTGGTTTTCTGTTCCTGCATTAATTTGCTTAGGATAATGGGCTCCAGCTGCACCCATGTTGCTGCAATGAGCAGCATTTGATTCCCTTTTATGACTGCATAGTATCCCATGGTGTATTATGTACCACATTTTATTTATTGAATCCACTGTTGATGGGAACCTAGGTTAATTCCATGTCTACACTATTTTGAATAGTGCTGCAATGAACATACGTGTGCATGTGTCGTTTGGTAGAACAATTTCTTTTCTTTTGGATCTATACCTAGTAATGACATTGCTAGGTTGAATGGTAGTTTAAATTTCTTTGAGAAATCTCCAACATGCTTTTCACAGTAGCTGAACTAATTTAAATACGCACCAGTAATACATAAGTGTTCCCTTTTCTCCACAGCCTCACCAACATTTGTTCTTTTTTGGCTTTTTAATAATAGCCATTCTAATTGGTGTAATTGGTGAGAGATACTATCTCATTTTTTTAAATATGAATTTATCTGATGATTAGCGATGTTGACCATTTCTTCATATAGTTGTTGGCCACATGAATATCTTCTTTTGAGAAGTATCTATTTATATCCTTTGCCCATTTCTAATGAGGATATTTGTGTTTTGGTTGTTCAATTGTTTAAGTTCCTTATAGAGTCTAGATATTAGACATTTGTTAGGTGCATAGTTTTGCAAATATTTTCTCCAAATCTGTAGGTTGCTTGCTTATTCTCTTGATAACTTCTTTCACTGTGCAGAAGTGCTTTTGTTTAATTAGGTGTCATTGGTCAATTTTTGTTTTTGTTGCAATTGCTTTTGAGGATTTAGTCATAAGTTCTTTCCCAAGGTTGGTATCCAAAATGGTGTTTCCTAGGTTTTCTTCTAGGATTCTTATGGTTTGAAATTTTATGTTTAATTATTTATTCCACCTTGAATTAATTTTTGCATATGGTGAAGGGCATGGGTCCAGTTTCATTTTTCTGCACATGGCTAACCAGCTATCCCAGCACCATTTTATTGAATAGAAGTTCCTTTCTCCATCGCATATTTTTGTCAACTTTGTTGAAGATTAGATAGCTGTAGAGGTGCGGCTTTATTTCTGCATTCTCTATTCTGTTCCATTGTTTTATCAGTATCATACTGTTTTGACTACTGTAACCTTAAGGTATAGTTTGTACTCATGTAATGTTGTGCCTCCAGCTTTGTTCTTTTTGCTTAGGACTCCTTTGGCTATTTGAGCTCTTTTTTGGTTCCATATGAATTTTAGAATGATTGTTTTTTCTAATTCTGTGAAAAATGTTATTGGTACTTTGATAGGAATAGCATTGAATCTGCAGATTACTTTGGGCAGTAAGGCCATTTTAACAACAGTAATTCTTCCAGTCCATAAGCATGGAATGTTTTTTCATTTGTTTTGTCTCTGATTTCTTTCAACAGTGTTTCATAATTCTTCCTGTAGAAATCTTTCACTTCCTTGATTAGCTGTATTCCTAGGTTTATTTTCATGTGTGTGACTATTGTGAATGAGACTGCATTCTTGAATTGGCTCTTGGCTTGAACATTATTGGTACAGAGAAATGCTATTGATTTTTGTACACTGATTTTGTATCCTGAAACTTTACCAAAGTCATTCATCAGCTTTAGGAGTCTTTGGGTGGAGTCTTTAGGCTTTTCTAGGTATAGAATCCTATCATTAGTGACAAGAGATAGTTTCATCCTTCATTTCCTATTTGAATGCCTTTTCTTTCTTTCTCTGGCCTGATTGCTCTGGCTAGGACTTCCAATTGTCTTTGTTTAAAAAATCTCAATATATTTAGATTCCATAATAAATTCCTTTGCTTTTGTAAGTAAGTCATATTGTATTTTTGAAATGATTTTCATTTGAGGTTTTTTGTTTTACTATGTGGAAACAATTGGTGTTGATGTTATCAATTACTTGAATAATTTATTCATAAGATATCTTTGTTGAAAATGTAAATATTTAAAACAGTGACCCAAACCTCTAAGAGAAAAACACAAACCGTGACAAAAAAAAAAAACAGAAAAGAACACTTAAATAAAATAATAGAAGTAACATGCATGTAATCTGAAATTATACCAATGAAAACTAATGCATAATTTTCAATATATAGAGAATCCATTTATACATTTCAGAAAACTGACATTAGAAAATAAAAGGGGTTAGAATATGCCAGCCAGAATTAAAGTGAAAAAGCTAAAGATTCCTTTTGTCTCTTGAATCACAAGCTCTTATCTGCAAAATGTCACACTGAAAACTTCTGCCAGTATTAAACAGGATCTTGGTGAGCCTCATTGAATATCTCTATTCACACTCAAACAAAATGTTTTTAAGTAATGGAGATGAATATTATGGTTTTAAATCACAAAAAGTTAAAAATAATGAATCATATTCAGTACTGAAAACACCTTAAACTTGAAGTATGATTCTTTTCATTATGACATATGGTTTTCAGAAAAATAGCAGAAACTGACATTCTAGAAAAACAAAATGAGTGATTCACAGCCCAGCAAAATCTAATATCACTTCCAGGATATTAAATACTTCATGTGCCAAGTTAGTCATAGATTCTGGCCTTACTTCAAGAGGTACTATTGATAGTTGTTTTGCTTTTTGTTTTTTGTGCGTGTGCATTTTTTTTTAATTCTAATGAATCCATAAAAATTTATCCACATATGAAGAATTCATAATGAAACAAACTTATTGCAGCTGATTCATGATTCTTCATGGAATTGAAATAAAGACTTGGCTTTAGAGATCTTCCAGAACTCCCGACTAAAACAAAAATAAATTACTTCTAAATTATCTATATTATTTGCCTTCATAGTTGTGTGATGATTGCAGGATCTCCGGGCAGTCTCCTTGCAAATGCGTCTAGTCATGTTCTTGGATGCCTTTATTTATTAAATAATCTATTATACTCAATTTAACACACATCTCTCAAGTATGTGTACCTGGCTCTGTGATAATTGTGAAGGATTAACAAGACAACAAAATATAGTTGACTCTTCAACATGAGTTTGAACTGTGTGGATACACTTATGGTCAGATTTTGTTCAATAAAAGTTACACCTAGTGTGCCTATCTCTCCTGCCTCCTCTTCTACCTCTTCTACCTCTTCTTCCCCTGAGACAGCAAGACCAACCCCTCCTCTTTCTCCTCCTCCTCAGCCTACTCAATGTGAAGAGGATAAGAATAAAGAGATTTTGTGATAATCCTTTTCCACTTAATGAATAGTAAATGTATTTCCTCTTTCTTATGATTTTCTTAACAACACTTCTTTTCTCTAGCCTACTTCACTGTGAGAATACAGTTATACTACACACAATACACTAAGTAAATATAGGTTAATTGATGGTTTATATTATTGATCAGACTTCCAGTCAACAGTAGTCAATTAGTTAAGCCTGGGGGGAGTCAAAAGTTATACACAAATTTTCAACTGTGTGGGGTGTCAGTGCCCCTGACTCCTGAGTTGTTCAAGGTTCAACACTATGGTCTCAAGTAGCTCACACTCAGGTTGACAGATAGTAAAGTCCACATTACAACAGAATTTGGCAAGTGCCCTAAAATCAGAAGAAATGGGATTCTAGGAGAGAAGCAAAAGGAAGTTCAATTTCTGCTACATGTAGCTAAAATCACCTTCCCCCAAACGTACATACTTTAGATAAGTCATACCTTTCAGTCCAGAGGAAATAAGCATCTCTTCCATGCAAGGGGTTCTTAAATTTTGTTATTACTGTTATTTGTTTGCTTTCTTGCTTGCTTTTATCTTTTGGCCTAAAAGATAACACATCAATGTCACCATCTTCTACTAAATATCATCAACTGTTTCTCAACTTAAAGATACCTGCATCTTATTTATTCTCTTTTGAATATACATTTTGTTTCAAGATCCTCCTTTACTGGGTATATACACAAAGGATTATAAATCATGCTGCTATAAAGACACATGCATGCGTATGTTTATTGCGGCACTATTCACAATAGCAAAGACTTGGAATCAACCCAAATGTCCATCAATGATAGACTGGATGAAGAAAATGTGGTACATATGCACCATGGAATACTATGCAGTCATAAAAAAGGATGAGTTCTTGTCCTTTGTAGGGACATGGATGAAGCTGGAAACCATCATTCTGAGTAAACTGTCGCGAGGACGGAAAACCAAACACCACATGTTCTCACTCATAGGTGGGAATTGAACAATGAGATCACTTGGACACAGGGTGGGGAACATCACACACCGGAGCCTGTCGTGGGGTTGTGGGAGGGGGGAGGTATAGCATTAGGAGATATACCTAATGTAAATGACGAGTTAACAGGTGCAACACATCAACATGGCACATGTATACATGTGTAACAAACCTGCATGTTGTACACATGTACCCTAGAACTTAAAGTATAATTTTAAAAAAATACAAAAAAAAAAATAAATAAATAAATAAAATACTTTAAAGTTTTTGGAAAAAAAGATCCTCCTTAAAACATGATTAACAAAAGTAAACACAATACTACGTTAAAATATGAATAATATAATGCTATAAACACAGTTATAGATAATACATTTTTCTGTAGTTAGGGTTGTAATGCTATACTCAACCAAATTTTTTCTTTGCAATTATTTGTTAGGTGTAGTAAGACCATGTAAGTCCAGTGAATTTTTGTTTGTTTGCTTGCTTTAAAAAATAATTATTTATTTCTATTAGATTATGGTGTATTTTAATCTGTTCAAATATTTTACAACTAAATTCTGACACCAAACATTAACTCTCCTATCAGATTTAGAGATTTCATTAAGGTTACTTCTATTTTCATTCAGACAATAATAAAAATGCCGATTCATATAAAGTTAAGTACAGGATCTTCTGGAATTCTGGGGTAGCATAAAATAAATGTCTCCAGAGAAATACTTACCAACTGTTTGCTGTTGAAGAAACCACTCCAATTTAAGGCAGTGAATACTAAAGGGGTCCCTGAGACTCAAATTGAACTTTTTAAGACTCTCATCTTTTTAATTCTCTTACAGGTATTTTCATTTCATCTTTAGTACAAACCTGCGAGATAGATCTATTATTAAGCTATTTCACCAAAAAGGAAAATGAGATCCGCGTAACTTGGCTAACTTGCATGGTCATGCAGTTGGTTGATGGACTAAGAGACTCAAAGGTGATCCATTGATTTTAATTCCCAGGAAACAATTATTCAGTCATTTATCATCCACCAGATTGTTCTATGACTATATGTCGGTGATGTTTGAAGAAATTTTAATATGGATTTTTCCAATCAATACTAACACTACACAACCTGAATGGCTAAAACTTTAAAAATTGGAAAAACCAAACACTAGCAAGAACATGGGGTCAGGGAAACTCTAATGCATGGTGTGGTGGAATGTAACATAGAATATTTTCCTTCACTTTGAAGAAGGGGCCTGGGATTTTACATTTGTTACATAAAATCATGTATACTGGCTGGGTGCGGTGGCTCAAGCCTGTAATCCCAGCACTTTGGGAGGCCGAGACGGGCGGATCACGAGGTCAGGAAATCGAAACCATCCTGGCTAACACGGTGAAACCCCATCTCTACTAAAAATACAAAAAACTAGCGGGGCGAGGTGGCGGGCGCCTGTAGTCCCAGCTACTCGGGAAGCTGAGGCAGGAGAATGGCGTGAACCCGGGAGGCGGAGCTTGCAGTGAGCTGAAATCCGGCCACTGCACTCCAGCCTGGGCGCCAGAGCGAGACTCCGTCTCAAAAAAAAAATAATATTAATAATAAAATCATGTATACCAAATATTTTCACTGTAACCAAGGAGTTTCCTGCCTAGGAATTACTCAAGAAAATTGGAAAACAACGCACAAAAAAAACATTTGTAATGAGAATATTCATGAAAGCTTTATTCTTTGTAATGAAAAACTGAAAATTGTCCAAGTGCCTACACAGAGAGCAATAAACTGTGGCGTATTCATACTGAAATATGACTCAGTAATAAAAAGGAAAGAGCTACTGATAAGCGAAAAACAAGGATGAATCTCATAAATATGCAGAGTGAAAGATGCTTTCCCAGAAGGTAATGTATAGTTAAAAAAAAAAATTGCATTCCTCTATTTTATTGAGAAAAAGAAAGTTATACTCTATACCATAGTTTGCTATTAATAAATTCATACTGGCACCTAGCATGTGTTTTACTCTTTTCCAAGGACTACTCTGAAACAATCTAAGTAGCTGACATCAAGTTCTCACACATATGTTTTACCTTTTTTTGAAAACTGAATTATTTCCCTGGATCCTAGTCACCTATCTCATTCTTCACGGTTTTCAGCCATTGCCAAACCGGGTTCTAGCCATTCTTTCCTTCTGTGCTCGGGTATTTGGCCTGAAGGTCTCTGAGGTGGAGGTTCTGGCATTGAGATCTCTCTTGTTACTTCCTCAGCTCCATGGGTCTTAAACACCATCTTATCTTCCTTTAACAGTTTCAGTGAGACGAACTCCCTGCATGAACAGGACAAAAGCAAAACAGCAGTTAAGTTGTTCTGTTAACATTATACCATCTGTTGCAAGGAATGGAACTCTCTCTTCCTTGTTCCTCTTCCTGTTTTGAACCTAGTAAAAGTGTTCTTTTTATTGTTCCTAGCATATTTTCCAAGGCTCAGATTATTTTTTATTAGCCTTCTTGGCACTGTTACAGTTTCATGCAACTCTTAAATTTGTATTTATGTGTGAGCGCCTTCTCCTTTTTTTTTCTTTCTAAATGTATAATCATCAAAGAATCCCCCAAAGTCACAGAGCTTTCTTCAGATAATATCCGATTTTCTTCTCTTGAGACTTTTTTTTAATACAGACTCTAACAATGCAATTCCTCACTATTTCTCTACATTTTTTTTTCCTGAAAAACAAACAAAGACCAACTGTGATTGGAAACTTGAATGGGTATATGCAGTCAGAATTGGAGTGAACTATGATAAATAGAACACTTTCATAACTATACTTCCCACCACTACTCACCATTCAAACTAATGATGTGACATTTTCTCTCTCAAATGATAACATAGTCTGTTAGTTTTGTGATTTCTTGGTGAATTATTTCTTTCTCTGACAATAACTAGGGAATTTTCCACATAACAAGACAGGAGTTAACTATGTGTTCCTATAAAAATAGTCTATGGAGTGTTCCAAGAAAATAAATGCACACAATGTTAACATAATTTAAACAACAAAAATAGAATAATGATGTTAAATTCCTGTTTTGTGTACCTGAAGGTCATAATTGTTCTAAATACTGTGTACCAGGGTCATGGTATTATTTTCAATGACATGACATGTGTTGGATTATGTTCAGGATTAAATATTAACATTATAGAGATTGTGCAGAATTACATGAAACAGAAAGTTAAATAATGAACAAATAGGCAGTATAGGGCAAGGAGTGGTAAGACTCCTTTTTACTCATGCTAAACAGAGACTCAGGTAAAATCCGTGGGCAGGATTTAAACTTTTCAGTTAATGTGTGACGTGGTTTGGGACATAGCAATTTCATTAAAATTTAGATGAACGAAGTCCCTCCTACCTCCTACCTCCACAGTGACATATCCAGTTGTATGTGTCTCAAATACACCACCACTTCCTCCATGTAGGTAATTGCAATTGCTACCATAGCCTGCTGCTAACTGGCATCTCAAGCATCAGTGTCTCCATGTTCTGTCTCTCCACAGTACTTGAGAGAATAAATATGAACAGAATTCCCAAGTGGGCATCTTTTCACAACCTTTAAGCAATTTCTTATCCTCTATCAACAATTACATTCCATGTAGCCTGCTCCGTAGACACTCTGAGCTTTTTCCTTTAACACAGTTAAACATACACATAGTTAAACATATACATAGTCAAACATTGCTATCGTTTGACATTACAGGGGTAGTCTCGCAATAAGAAAAGACAAATTCATGTTGTTCTTAGAAAAGGGTGAAACACCTATCACAAATGCTTCTGAAATTTCCATTATTTTGAGCAGTACCATTATTGTCATCAATATAAAGGCACTGAGTTTTCTTCAGCATTTCTTCTCCCCTAGAGATGGACTGAGAACTTATAAGGAGAAACTTATATGCGTAGACGTTTGGGTCTGATCGCTCATGGGAGCTGGGGTGTACTGAAAAGAGTACACTCTCTGCCCTGCTCCTTTTAAGCCATTTGTAAAGACAGGTTGTCATATAGTGGTCCAGTTCTACCAATGATTTGGAGAATAGGTCCATACGCTTTTCGGTTTCTATATTAGGAAATCTATTTGCCTGCAAATAAAAGAACTGCCTTAATTTGGCACTTCCTCTGTAATGAAAATGTAATTATATTTCCATATATCTTCTATTTTATTTATATTCATTAATTGGCTCAGAAATTAAATGAATAACATGGTTATTTAATGGATTCTCTTTCAATCCCCATTTCTCACTTGTTTTCCATAAATGTTGCAGATAGTGCAGATAGTATATATTCCCTCATATATTATTATATGTTCTTTACAGTTTTCCTGCAATTTTGGTCTTTCTAAATCTCTCTCTGTCTCTCTGTCTCTCTGATCTCCCTCCCTCCTTGCCTCCTCTCCCTCTTTCTCTCTCTCCCTCTTTCTCTCTCTCTCCCTCTCTCCTTTCTCTTTCCTTTTCTCATGATTATTTAACAGACAATTTGTACTGGATGCACCACCGTGGCAAAGTCTGACACTGTAAAATAATCTATCTTGGTTCTTCCTGTGTGAAACTCACACTATTTTTGGATTTATAATTATATAAAAGTCTGAAAGAAGTGAATATTATCTCTTTTTTATTTCTAAAATGTTTGTTTCTGAAAGGGTAAAAGAGGATTGATGCTATTTAACTTATCTCCAGTTAATATCAATTTTAAAAATGTGCAAAAATTGAGGTCAAAATAAAAGGTTGTATGCCTGTAAAGAAATTGACAAACAGATTGCTCCTTCAGCATTGAAAGTATCTCAAAACAAATAGATGGGATTTCCATTACGACCTGTGAAAGGTTACATGAGAGTTCACTCCCACTATAAACATCAAAAACATGGACAAGATATATGTGAAAAGAAATATTTTCAGATGTTGGAAAACATACCATGCAGTGCTGTAAACTCTGAAGGAAGAAAAACAAGAAAAATGAGTTCTGCGAGTTCAGTTTTTAGGTTTCAATATAGGAAAGCAGAACGCAAACAAAGACTGGTTGCACTGAGTTGAAGGGACAACAATGGCAGTCCAGGTAGAATGTGGCAGCTAGAATTTGTGACAGTGCCACCCAAGAGGAGAGAGCCATTCCACAGGAAGATAGAGCTCTAGCTTTCTGCAGTTATTCATTCCAAAAATTCTTTGGTTGAATGCTGAGATGCACATATGTGGGATAAAATTTCACAGGATATAGGAAATAATCAATAAAAAGCAGAAAACTGGATAATTAATTAGAGCTCAAATAAGACTGAAGTAAGCTGAACTCCTACCAGCCAGAGTAGACAGACCACATTATGCAAGGAGCCCTGGCTAGAATGCTCAGAAAAGCATTGCTTTAATGGAAAATTCATAGACTGAGGGGAAAATATGCATATATCTGATAAAGAACATGTATCAAAAATATACAAAGAACTCCTGAAACTCAACAGTAAACAAGCAAGCAACACAATTAAAAGATAGACAAAAGATCTGAACAGACACCTCACCAAAGAAGATACACTGGTGACAAATAAACATATTAAAAAGATACTCAATATTATATATCATTAGGGAATTACAAATTAAAACAACAATGAGATACCAGTAAACACCTATTAAAATGGCTAAAACTCAAAACCCTGTGTGTTAGTTTGCTAGGGCTGCCATAACCAAGTATGGATGGCTCAAACACCAGAAATCTATTTTCTCATACTTCTGAAGACTAGACGTCCAAGATAAGGTGTCAGCAGGGTTAGTTTCTTTTGAGGCTTCTCTCTTTGGCTTATAGATGTTCACCTTCTCCCTGTGCCTTCTCACAGTATTCCTTCTGTGTATTTGGATCTTCTCTCCTTATAAGGATACCTCATTGAATTAGAGCCCACTCTAATTACCTCATTTTGTTCTAACTACCTTTTTAAAGACCCTATCTCCAAAAACAGTCAGATTCTGATATACTGGTTGGTAGAACTTCAACACATGAATTTTAGGGGAGCACAGTTCAGTCAACAGCACCCAGACAACACCAAATGCTGGTAAAGATGTGGGGCAACGGGAACTCTCACTCATTGCTGGTGGGAATGCAAAATGGTACAGCTGCTGTGGAAGACAGTTTGGCAGTTTATGACAAAACAAAACATATTTTTATGTGATCTAGCAATCATGCTTCTTGGTATTTATCAAAATGTGTTGGAAATTTATGTACACATGAAAATCTGCACACGGATGTTTATAGCAACTTTATTCATAGTTACCAAACTTGGAAGCAACCAAGAAGTCCTTGGTGAATAGATGAATAAACTGTAGTACATCCAGACAGGGATGTACACAGCACTAAAAGGAAATGAGCTATAAAGGCATGAAAAGATGTAAGAAACCTTAAATGCATACTGCTAAGTGAAAGAAACCAATCTGAAAAGGCTACACACCATATCATTCCAACTATATGACATTTTGGAAAAGGCAAAACCATAGAGTAAAAAGATTAGTGATTGCCAGTGGTTGATGAGAGAGAAGGAGGAATGAATAGGGGAGCAGGGAAATTTTAGGAAAGTGAAACTATTCTGCATGATAATATTGTCATGCGTGAAAAACCCATAGAACTACATAACACAAAGAAACTGTGCCATAAACTGTGGAATTGAGTTAATGATAATGTTTCAGTATTGGTTCAACAATGGAAATGAATGTACTGCAGCAATGCAAGATTGAAATACTAGAAGAAATTGTGTGTATGTGTTAAGGGAAAAGGGATAAATGGGGACTGTACTTTCTCTACAATTTTTCAGTAAACCTGAAAGTGCTTTAAAAAATAAAGTCTAGGCCGGGCGCGGTGGCTCAAGCCTGTAATCCCAGCACTTTGGGAGGCCGAGACGGGTGGATCATGAGGTCAGGAGATCGAGACCATCCTGGCTAACACGGTGAAACCCCGTCTCTACTAAAAAATACAAAAAACTAGCTGGGCGAGGTGGCAGGCGCCTGTAGTCCCAGCTACTAGGGAGGCTGAGGCAAGAGAATGGCATAAACCTGGGAGGCGGAGCTTGCAGTGAGCTGAGATCCGGCCACTGCACTCCAGCCTGGGTGACAGAGCGAGACTCCGTCTCAAAAAAATAAATAAATAAAATAAAAAATAAAAATAAATAAATAAATAAAGTCTATTTTTAAAATACTAAAACATTAAAATGAAAACAAACTGCTAATTTTGATATATGAACTTAGAATAAGTGGTAGGATACAATGGATTTTTTAAATTACTGTATTCCTATATACCAGCAATCAATATTTTGAAACTGA